ATGATTCTAGAGATTCTTTAACTTTCTAGCTTAGATCACCACACCATCTTATTCAATTCTTTTACTAAGCAGTACCATGTATTCTGCAAATAATCCAAAATAACGTTGTTAACATGGTCTAAGCATTGTGATAAAAATGTATTTAATTGGTGAGAAATGTCCCCCGGGTTTCAGTCTTTGTTTAGTGTGTCAAGTTTGAAGCCAAGAAGAAAAAAAAAAACAACAAAACCACCAAGCAATTCTCAAATAGAAAACAGGAATTCAAAGGCATGCTCCCCCACTAGGAAGCTGGCTATCTGAAATTGTCTTCATTCTAGCATTCCCTTTTAAGGACAGTAATTGACACTTCAATCTCATTTAAACAGTAATATAAAATACTTAAACAACTTTTTTTTTTTTCCTTGTTCCACATTTCTATAGGTGTCAGCCATATTCTTTTCATTCAGACTGTGATGTGGATCACAGACTTCTTGGAAAGGCCTTGCTTGCTTCAACAATAACTTTTTTATATTTGCCACACATTGGACATAAAGCCCTGGAGAAGTTCAGCAGCCATTTATCTCACACATCACCTGGTATTTTGCTAGACCTGTAGCAGTTAGGCAGTTATATTTTTCACACTGTAGACAGCCAGAATGACAAAATTTAGAGCTAATTTCTTAGAGGTAGAATTGGAATTGAATGGCTCTGGAAATAGGAGGAAATGTAATCCTTTGAGTGCAAGACCTTTAACTGACAAGTTTTGATGTTCAAAGCAAATAACTTTTAGATTTTGCTTTTAGGAGACAATCTTGTTTCCTTTGCCTGTTTTGATAAGAATATTGTTTCAGGGACTTTTTTCAGTATAAAATTGATTTTCCTGTATTCTCATAAATAGCATTTCAAGAGAAATCTCTAGTAAGAACTTTTTAAAAGCATTTTTAAAAGTACTTACCAAAAGTTAGGGTCCTATGTGTACATTTGATTTTTAAAATAAAATGTTATTTAATAATTTGCACTACCTTGAAAAATCAGACTCAATTTTCAATAAAGCATTTAAGTAAAGAAGCTAATTTACCCACTCTCTAAATACAATTGCTAGTCATATTGCTGGTTTTAAGTGTTTGCCAATATGAAAAATAGAAGCATAAAACATTTTATGTCATTGTCTTATCTTATGCCTAAACTCAGAGACAAACAAGGAGTTCCACGTCTGTCTGTTGTAATAAGATGCACATCCTCCAGTGTTGGAGGCTGCAATTTCTTTCATTCAAAGCAAGGAAGTCTAGGTTTATTTTAGGCCCCAGCCTGAGCTGATGCAAATCTCTTTCTTCTGGATCCCAGGTGAAAGTACTATCCTGAACCAACCTGTTGAACTGATCCCTGCACAGCTAAAAATCATTGCAGGAGAGACAGTTCAAGAGAGAACTAGGCTCTAACCTCAAGTTTGGGGCAGTCAGCTGTGAGAGAAGGAAGAAACCCTGGGAGGAAGACTATTAAACCCAGCACCTCCCAGTTGTAACCTTATGGCTGCAGAGTCAAACTCCTCCTTATCCTCCCAAGGAAGCCAGCACTTTTTGAGCAGTTGTTCAACGCTGCCATCAGTATCCATAGCTAAGGAGAAGTCTGCTATCCTGCTTCTTCTGTGGAACTGTTATTCTATTCAGACATGTACGGAGATGGTCATGTTCTGCTCTGAGGGACTTGGGGTCCCTGCTCCATGGGACTTCTTGGGGCGAGGTGGGTGAAACCTGCCAGGGTTCGGCTTTGGCCATGGCACCTCCAGGTTCCCATCAGAATAGCAGAGCTCATTGAGTTAAGGCATTTCCAAGAAAATATAACTGATCAAGGCCATTTTAGATCAGGTTTAGTTCTTGTTAAGTCCGCCCTTGTATGAGTCTCTTGATTAGATTCTTCTCTGTTCATTTTATCTTCCAGATACGTGTTAGATTGTTAGATACCTATTAGATATATTAGTACCTGTTAGAAAGAATAGACCATTACAAGACCAGGGGAACATGGCTGTGTCTACTATTTTATGAAATGTCACTGGTCATTATAATAGCAATGTCAACTGTGATGGTGGAAGAAGGTTTTGAGAGAGGATCTTTCAGCATTTCAATCTCTCTATGCCTATAGTTCATCTCTATATTTCATCAATATACTTCAATATATCTGTATTCTGATTAAGCTGAAAACATACAGTTATTTTCTGTAATGTACAGAAATGCCTCCTTTGTGAAAGCATCAATTTTTTTCTCCAAATTGTTTAATTCTGAAAAACTTTAGTTCTTAAATTGAGATAATTACACCACAGGATACAGTATATGCTTTTCACTTTGTAAACCAAGGTTAATTCAAGTGATGTAGAAAAATATTGACTAATGTGATTATATTGAAGAAATCATGTAAATAGAAATAGATTTTTAGGAATGACTGGTGACTTTGTCATTTTATATTATTCGGTTTGAGACATTTTAAAATCGTCTTATAGTAATTTATTGGTTTTCAGGATTTTCAAGACATTAAGGCTCTTTATAGCTTTTTCGATTTGAGCACCTAATAACTGGGGGAACAAAAAGCATTAATTACTTTAGCATCAGCATCCAGAACCTGCTCTGAATTCTTTTAAGAGGTGATGACTAGGCCCACAGCTGCTGTGAAGATCTTCGCTGTTGAGAAGTTAGCATTGTCCATTTGGTCAATGGACAATACCGATATCTCCTCCTTCCCACCCAAGTGAGATCTTTCTCAATTCAGTCTTCTGTTCTTTCTAGTACTTCTTCAGACAGCTCTTCACAATACAACTGAAACCTCAGTTTGGAGAATAGGATCCACTGTGCTGACCTTTCTTGTAAAAATCTAAAGGATTTATTTATTGTAGAGATTTGTAATAAATGTCACAGTACTTCAATTACACTTCTAAAATTCAAGACTCTAATAGAATTTTACTCTTGCTAATACTATGGTATTCTTTTCCATAAGTCAACTTGGAAATATTTTTCTATGTACTTTTTAAACATGGAGCAAGAACGAGTGAAAGTCGGACAGGTTTCAAGTTTCCCTTATTTTGACAATGTCTTTATTTAAAGACTCATGGTTGAAAGACATCTGGACATATGGGTGAATGGACTTCTACACATTTAAAAAAAGGAATTATCCTGTATAGTATTAGATTTCTGTATTATGATGATATTTCAGGCAAAGTAAAGATCTCTTTTCACCATGCATATGAAATAACTTAGAAATGTCATCATTCTGTCTGAGCTCAAACTCAAGGGTATTTTAATGACTTTTATTTCACTTTCATCTATTTTGCATTATGTTGAATCAGTGGTATTGCTATCAAATTGCTTTCTGCTTTAGAAAGTAATGAGGCAGTAGAAGACAGTGTTGTATTTGTAGCTTTTGTATTGGTGACAGCAATTAAAAAAAAAAAAAAATTGAAAGCTCGAAAAGCAAACACAACTATCTCTCTCTTTCTGCCATTTTCCTAGCAATATCCACAACCCACATAGATAATATAGGCCAGGCTACCCAAAGGCCAAAGCAGAAGAATGCAAAAGGCCTTATTTATGAACTGTGTACAATATGGGGCAAGAAAGGTCGGGGAATGGGGTAGGTTTCAGGAACCCATTTGGTATCCACTGATTTCCAAAAGTGTAGGCTTATGACTTGCCATATCTGTTCCCCATTAATTTGCCTAACAGTTCCACTAGGGATTGCCAGCAGAGGAACAACCTTGGTCCCACACAGGATGGGATGCCAGATCCTATCAAGGTGTGGCGCATTACTGATGCTCTCTGCAGGAGCATAGTTTTCTTTCTTACACTTCTGCCTTGCCCCAGTATGATTTCTCTTTAAGTATGACTTCATCCTCTGCTTTGATACCCATCTACAAAATGGTATTTCCTTAAAATATAACGGCTCTGTTTCCCTCTTTGGTCTGTGTACTATAAAGTAGATCATAATTTTGTGAGCAACCTTCAATAACCAATAATTCTGGAAAAAATATTTAATTCTAATGATACGTGCTATTTTTGCTTTGTAGCTTGGGGGTTGTTGCTCCACATTCATGGGATTGTTTTAATTGGATTTAATATCATTTTGGCTTACAGTAAGAAAAAGAAACAGTCAGTCTGTTTAAAAGTTAATGGACTTCTAATTAAAGTAAATTTCATTTGACTTAAAATTCTTTCACATTAATTACCAAACTTGGATTTCAGAGTGCAGTATTTATGGGCTGCCAAACTATTTGATAGGGATCCAATGTATTTTCATTTCTTTGTGACAGAGGAATGCCCTGAGCCATTTACAACCTTTGATATGCATTAAGAATATTTGTTGGCATCATTTAGCTGGATTTATGTGCATGAACTGGGTTCTGAGTGTTGCTGTTAATGTCTTTTGTTCTTCATCATTTTTTAACTCCAAGATAAGCTACAGTAATATAATTATTAAACCTTTTAACCTGTAGATGCTATGAGAATTGATTAAACCAATGAAGATTTAAAGTAATTACTGAAAACCATTCTGACACATTCAATTTTTATGCTTGAACCATTAGACTGCATATTGTGTGTGCACTGCATAAAACATACAGCACAAGCAAATTTTTTACTTTTATTTTTGTGTCATCCCATTCAAGGAAACTGTAAAGTAACTATGTCTGACACCTGCCTTGCTCTTTTGTGATGAAAGTAACTATGTCTGACACCTGCCTTGCTCTCTTTTGTGTTGAGTGTGTTAATGATTCTGGAAGTTCACAAAATACCCATGGGTTCCCTTCAGTAAGTCTTCAATAAGAGTGCACAAAGGTATACACTAGCATGCAGTGAATATGCCTCTGGATGTAGAGCACCATACTTGGTTGGTTGACTAAACTCATCAAATTAAATTAATTTGGTGGGTTTTATTAATTTTTCCTTTTTAATGCATGATTTATATTACTTTTATTATTATTTCTGCATTTTCTCTCCCCCCCTCTTTTTGTTTTACATATTGCTTTCATTTGTTTATAGAAGAAAAGAAAGCAGATCCAGAGAATGGGGATACAGGTAGGGTGATTTATTCAAAATATTTTCATGTTTTTGCCCTTAAGTTCTTTGATCTATTATGTTTACGCAAATGTGTACCATAGAGTTGGATCACAGTTTTGATGTATTTTAGGGATTTCAAAATAGACACTAGGAAATGGAAACTAAGAAAGGGCTTTCCCAAATGTATTTCCTTTGCTTTTTTAAGGGAGTCAAATTAGGGTGAGAAATGGGAAGAAAGAGACCAGAATCAGCTAAAGAAGGCTCTCGTACACCTTAAGACTTCTGTTCTGTCCTCCCCACTCCAGGCACAGGGTGTGCTCACCTGCACACTGCCTTTTTCCTCTCTATTACAGGTTTCTGACTTCCAAAATCTCAGTGTTTCTGTAGTCCCCTCATCACTAGTTTTCCCCCATGCCTGAGCTGCTGTGCCTCCCCAATTTTGTATCCCTCTTGTCCATGCCTATCCAAAACTAAATTTGTCCTAATATTTTAAGAGAAACTCCACTCTACTTCCATACCCCAGATTTTCTTTTTACTCTCTGCCCCAGAAGCCCCACTGTACAGCAAACTCCTTCTCCAAACACATCACCATCGCCAGCATCTATTGTAGCTAGAATAGTTTAATAACTCCCACTGGAGAAGGCAATGAAAAAAAAGAAAGAAAAAACACAGCTCCCCTCTGTTTTTATTTTTATTTTTTAAATAGGTAGGTTTGCCTTAGGCTAAGCTGGGTGATAAGGCCATTTTGTTGTCCCTTTTGTCTCTGGTGTGGACCACAGGCTACCAACTGAAGAGTCTTACCCTAGAGAGTAACCATTGTTTGACCTGAAGAGCAAATAACAGTCTGTAGCTCCAGGCTGAATTGAATGATTGCTGATTCTATGAGCTGTTGAGGTCAGGAAAAGTTAGGTATTAACCACACCACTGATTACAGCCCCTTAAAATTTTTAGCATGAAACAAACATTTAGTTTTTAGTTTTCAGTTATGAGGAAAGCTTTAATGGTGAAGTAGCTGAATCTTATCTTATTTCAAGTTAAAATATGAAAATAATGGTTTGCATTCAAAGCTGGAACAGTGATTCTAGTGCCTGCCCTGAGTCCTGTTGTAGGAATTATACAGCTGCCACCTAGACCATGGTAGGAATTATGTGGATGCCACCTCAACAGGGCTCGTCCCAAGGTTCTGCTTTGGTAAAAGAATCAGAGTTCCTTCTTCTGCTACATTTAATATGCAATAGTAGTTACGAGCTGGGGTGCCTCTGAAGAGGGGCCCTGCCTGTCGATTGTTACTGGATTTTGTAGTCTCTATAGGTTGCATGATTTCCTGATGGCACTTCTGCTCATCCAATCCTGTTCATGGTGTCTGGGGTCTTCTCTTCTTTTGATTTGCTCCTGCAGCCTCCAGGCACCTTTTTTGTCAGTCTTGAGACATTTTCTTATCTTTTGTTACAGAATATCCTGTAGTTAAAGTTTTACTTATACTTCCTTATCTACTGGTTACATTTCCATAGATAAAAACAAAGGTTAAAGTACAATTCATACGGCCTAAGGCTTAATTTGCTTTAGTCATTAGTGCTAAGCTCTGGCACAAATTAGTCTCACACTACAATCCTCATGGATCTGAGGGCAGGTTACAGGGTTGCTGTGCACAGTGCTTGGGCACCTTACTCTGGCATTTCAGGACTGTGTTTGCATTGTAGTTGTGTTGCTTTCCCTCAGCACACTCTTCTAAAAATATGGAGAATGGCTGGTATTGAATCAGCAGCTGGCTCTTTGTCAGCCAGGAATTTCCCTGTGCTGATGAAAACCCCACTGAGCTAACCTTCGGGCCATGGGGTTTCTAACATTAGAGAGTTGTTCAAAATAAGCAAAACTCTGAGATGGTGCCTACAGTGTAATGATCCCAGTTGTGTTTGGTGAGCAACATCAGGCTTTGTTCTTCCTGCAGTCTTTCTTATTTTTTTGTGTTGCTATGGCTGAAGTTTGAGTGTCTCATTGGCTCTTTCTCTTGGAGGCACAGCTACTGTCTAGAAGCAAAATTCTGGAAGGAAGTTAAGGCAGAAGTGTACAAATGAACTCACTTTTGCCTGGCCAAAATTTGGTTGCAAACACTTTGGTACATTGTGGCAGTAGACAAAAGTATATCAGAAGTAGCTTTAATTGTTCTAGTGTCAGTCTCTATAGTCCTGAAAATGTGTTGTGCTGGGCTCTAGCTAAGGACCTGAATAACACAAGGGCTCAGTCAGCCTTGTGCTACCAGGGTGAAAGCTTATGCTCCTACATTTTCACCACTATTAATAACTAATAGTTTGATTCAGTTTAGTTCTGATTTGTCTACACACAGTCCATATACACCTCCTGATTACAGTGGAGTCCTTAGTATAGGACTGATGTTCACCCTTGATTACCAAAATCATGTTAGGAGCTGAAGCTTCCTAATGCACTCGGACAGTTACTGAACTCTCTGGAAGTACTTTCTGCTCCTGCTACCCCCCCCCCCCCCCCCCCCCCAGGTTTCAGCTAAGTATAAATTTGCCAGCAGAAGCGGAGATGATGATAGCCCTGCATTTCCACCACTTAGTGTGACATGCATGCAGGCTGGACCATGTGAACGGGAAGTGCCGCGACACGCTCTTAACCTTTCCTACTCCCATCCAGATCATGGCTGCATCTGGCTTTAGTTACACTGAGATTAGCCTGCGGCAGCCAGTAACCCTGCACACTCTTTCTGCATGTCAGCTCCATGCACAGTACAACCAAAGCTGATCTTCTGCATTATGAACTTTCTACTACCCTCAGGATTCTCTCTTTTTGCATGTAACTGAATTCACTTACTTGTTAAAGGCAGTTTCAAAAATACATAGCAAGTTAGATTTTCTTTTAATAAGCTTTTATGGAAATTGAGTATTTTTTTTCTAAATTTTGCTGTCTTGTTTTTCTCTTGAGACTAAAATATGCCACCAATTTTGCTTATTTTGCTACAGAGGACTCACACTGAGGGTTTATGCGTTATACTTCCCTTTCGACTGCATATTTCAGAGTGCTTGGTTTTGCAGACCATGAACAATTGGAAACCTAACTTTCACTTTGCCAAATAATCATAGACAAGAATTAATATTTTCACAAGTAATTGTGAAATTTCTAATTTATGCTCAAGAGGTGTTATTTCATCACTACTTGTAATTTCCTGAAATTTGGCAGAATATCTGGGGAAAAAGAATGTATGTGATGATTTCATAAGAAAACTTCATAAGAAAAATTGACAAAATTTCCCTTTTGGTGAAAAACATCTCCTTTGTTACATTACTGAAGAATGACAAGTGGATTTGCAGAATGTTATGACTTCAGCAAAAGACGATTTCTTTCTTTAAGCAAAAAGTTAGTGTGTTTTACTTCAAAACCACTTATGTGTTACTTCTGTCATTGAAAAAAGAAAAATATCATTTTCCAGTTTAAAGTTTTTGTTTTCAAGAGAGAAATTATATCTTTAGAGCTTTTAAAACTAGATCCTTAAAAAAATCACTGCATCTTACTGATAAATTGGCAAGTATTGCTTTGGGGCCTATAATGGTTGAGGAAAATTGTGATAGGAAAAACTAGCTATATTTTTTTTTAGGAATTTTCATCTGCTGCTGTCTTTTTCATTTTGTTTCTCCCTATAAAACACTGGGTTTTCTTTTTCATTCATTTTTGTTGATTTTCATTTCTCTTAAAAGTTTTGATGAAGGCTTTTCACTCATGTTGTTTGTAAGGAGTAAAGATGGAGAGTTTGAATACAAAAATCAGAAGCCAGAGGTTTTATAGATAACAGTACAGTTTAGCCTTATTTCCTTCCCTCTTCCTCTCACCCTCTTCCTTCCAGATTTCCCACAAAGTGCTGCAAGATTTAGCTGGCGGGTCTCTCTCGTAGTATGTGCTACTACCATTACTGTTGTCAAGAAAGAAAATACAAAGCTCAGAGGTCCTGCAGAGGCCCTGTGCAAAGCCCCACTTTACTATTAGATTACAGCTTAGAACTGAGATTTAGAGTTTAAATCAGATTTATATAGTACACTGGAATCTAATATTCCCATCTCAGTTCCATAAATAGAAGTCCAGATTGTTCAATATATATAATGTACAGAAACTTCCATTTATGACTAGTGGGATTCTGAAATTTTAATCTTAGACAACTGTTGTGTTAAAATTATGGAAAGTTTAAGACAAATGTCAGTCAAAATGGATGCTTTTTAGCATTCAGTGGATAATGAATTATTCTTGATTTATACCATGTTACAGTGGAAGAGAATCAAGCCTGTGTGTGTAAAATAGATAACTATATTTTGTTTGAAAATCTTTTTTTAATTCTGGGCTGTTGTCTTCCTTTTGTTTTTCTATTTCTCACTTTTCCACCTCAGCTTTGGCACTTACTTCCTTATAATTTTGCATAGTAAATTGCAGTGTTACAGTACCAGTTGGCTGAAACCAGCTGTTGCCTGTCATATCATACCATGCCCAACCCATCCCTAACTGAGACTAATCCTGTATTTGGTCCAAGAAGAGTGAATCCTGAAATCATTCTTGAAGTTGTGTGTCGTTAGACTGTAATACAGTGATGCCACTGGGTGGCTCTTTAACATTCCTTTATACATCTTTAAATTGCCTTGAGCATACTAAGAATGTGCTCAAATGGTAAACAGAAGCTCTGCCAGCCTGTGGTTGTTACTTGATTAGTAATTCGGTATAAAAATGCTGCTATCACACTATAGCAAATGCAGAACCAGAATCTCCACCCAAAATAAGCAGGTTGTCTTTGCATTCCTTTTTTTAAATGAAAGACTCAGTTTCTCTTGAATATTTTTGAAATAGTAAAATCCTATTCTGTGGAAGCATTCTGTTCCATTTACATTTGTTTCTTCCACAAAGTTGGTTTCATTTGAATTGTGTAGATAATACAACACTTATTAAGATTCTGCTGAAATACTTACTTATCTACTCTTTTCCTCCTCTTACAATTTTTTGTCTTTCTGCAAAATTATAATTCAGAAATTACAATTTTATACACTATGATTTAAGTAAATCAGATTTCATCTCTTTCTGTTAAAACTTCCATGAGCATAACTTTAAACTTGGAATTGAGGACTGCTTGTGTATTTATTTTCTTTTTTTTTTTTTTTTAACTTAACAGGTGCAATGGATGTAGAAGAGAGGAATCGCCAAATGAAAATGAGCAAGTACAAACAGGTAGCAGGATCAGATTCCAGGCTGGAACAAGATTATCATTCTAAGGCAAGGGAGTTTTGTTTTGAAAAGCAACAAAATATGCTAAACTGAAATATCCAATATCCTTTTAGAAAGTAATAGATGAGTGGGAGGTTGTTTCTTCAGCAAAAGTTTCTTGTGTGTCTATAATAAAATTATTGGAAACGTGCAGCAAAACCCTTAACACAGAGTGTTCTTGATTATTAAAATTTAAGAAGGATAAGTTAAATCAAATAAAAGTGGCAGTGTAATTATCCATTGGAATGAACAATAGGGTCATGATTTAAAAGCTCAAAGAGAAGGAAAAAAGAGGTTTATTGAGTGACAGATGAGAACTATTGAAACCTGTTCATGGCTTTCATATAGTTGAACACAGGGTAATCTTGATCTATTGAAAACTGGAAGACGTAGTGTTACTTAGTTTAATAGTGGCAGTTTAGCTTTTGGAAAAGTATTTGATACATCAACACAAGCTTCCACCCCAGCTGTGGCAATTTGCCAAAAATCTGAATCATTTCATAGTAGTATAGCCCCAAATATACTATCCAAAATTTCCTGCTATCTGGAACAGGGTCATGTCATATACAGTGTGTTAATTAAAATAATCAAGATATTTTCAATTTAAACTTCTATTATACAAAAATAATTTAGTGTCCTCTAAAAAACTTCATTAATTGAGGTCAGATTGTAAGTGGGAAACACGAGATTTCTGACCTATAAAAGCTGGCTGAGGAAGACAAGTCTGGTTTAGACTTTTATTTCCAGGATGTAGTTCCTTAATCCAAGGATTGGCAAAGTTACTGTAAACTGAGCCATTTAATATTTGAAAACAAAGAAATCATCAAATTTATTAAGTATTATTAGTTTTGCAGATAATGTAGACTAATATACTTGATAAAATTACTTTCTAGAATGTACATTTCAGTGTGGGAAAAAAGAGGAAGAGCTTTAGTGAAGCCGATGACAAAATGGAAAACGCTATTAATGAAAATAGAATTGACAAAACAAAACAAAAAAACCTATGAAAATGGCTTAAAATACATAAAAACTCTGTAGATGTGCTGCATGATTATTTGGGTATTTTACAAATGTAGTTTTTACTACAGAAGGCATAGGAATTTTTATTAACATATAGGAGGGACTTGGTACACTGTCATGTTTAGATGCTTGTTTTATGTTGACACTTATGGCAAAATTATTTTCAGATGTGTCTATATTGTCGGCTTTGAAAGGTGTTACCTTTTAGAGATGAGCGTAATACTGTGAGCAGACCTTCTCGCAAGTGTTATGATTGTATGTACCACACAAATATGACTTTATGTATTGTATGTATAACCAGACTTATTCTGCTAATTTTCTTGCTCCCTCAATGCTTGACTGAAATTTGAGTCAGAAGTAGGACTGGCACAGAGTAAAGAGAATAAATGGGCTCTCATGTGACGGAGCTGGATAGAATATAACTACCTAAGGAAACATTTCCTAGCCTTGTTATTTCCATTTCACCCACACCATATTATTGGGCCTCACTATACATCTTACATCTTTTTTATTAACATTTTACCTTCAGTATTATTGGAATGTATTAAAGAGGAAAACTATTAATGGAATTATTTTATGAAAATGATGATTTATTTATTGCACACATCAAACAAATTGTCTTCAGAAATAAACAGTTAATTTACTCTTCTGCCAAAGCGTAGTTTCAGTATTTGAAAATTAGTTATTTATTCTATCAATGAACTTGTGGAACTAGACACTGAATATTCACATATATGTATTAATTCGAAATGCATTCTTAAAATTGTGTAGTTTTAAAGCCATGTGAGAACCATAACTCTCATAAACCATATGAGAGTTCCGCCTTCACTTTTTTACTACCACTGCTTCAATTCCCCTTAATTAAGTGCTTATATTATCTAGAGACAGAAAATGAGTAAGTATAATTTATCTACCTGGTTTCTACAAAAATTCTTCTGGAATCATGAACTGAAACACGTATGTCAAATGCTGACTGAAATCTCATGTTCTGTATACTATACAGTGACTTTGATTTTTTAAATCTGTCAACTGGCACAAGCAGGCAGTCAAACATGCCATGCCTGAGAAAAAAGTCATTAACTAGGCATTAAGAGACATTCAGGAAAGCTAGCAAATGGAATTTTCTTTTACATTTCTGTTCTATTTCTTTCTTTAAATTGAAGTCAACAGCAACTGTATGTCCCTCACTATTACTTTGAGTTAAGAAAAAATATTATTCCTTGCTGAGAAAGCAAAAGCTATAACAGTAGAAGTTATATTAAATATTAAAATAGGCATCCTGTATTATAACTCTCTAGTTTTGTTCTACCTCTGGAAGTCAGTACTAGAGGCTTTAGAGGAAGGTACATACACTTCTATGGGGCATAGTCATACATTAAGAAGCTTGTGGGAAAAGTATACTTCCAGACATCGGTATTCTTAGAAGCTGCTGAAATATGAAATTGATTTTCCCTTATATTTTTTCCTCATGATTGGTAAAATTGCAGATTCTATTTTTATTATTCATATACATGCCTCATTATTTTTGGAAAACTAAGTATTCTGCTTCCATAATATTTTGTATACATGACTTCGGCAGGTAATATATTGTGTAAAAGGGTTATTTCCCCCTTATATTTTTTCCTCATGATTGGTAAAATTGCAGATTCTATTTTTATTATTCATATACATGCCTCATTATTTTTGGAAAACTAAGTATTCTGCTTCCATAATATTTTGTATACATGACTTCGGCAGGTAATATATTGTGTAAAAGGGTTATTTCCTTAAATCATAGAATAGTTTGGATTGGAAGGGACCTTTAAAGGTCATCTAGTCCAACCCACCTGCCGTGGGCCG